AGAAGATAACAGTTAACTGTAGACTTGAGCAGGTTAAGATTGTAGTGATTGGGGAAACATCCTCCTGGGAGTATGTTCCACAGAGCAGTGGTTCGTTAGAAGAAGCTGATCAAGTGGAACTTACTTCTCACCAATGGAATACAGAGGGAATGTGGATGGTTTGCTACAATGCAAATGGTATGGCAGCTCCTAGCCATGAAGATTAGACATGGTGGAACCAAGGAAGGTAGTTTTTCTGAGAACTTTCCATAGAAGTAGTGATAGTAGATAAGTAGTTGTGAGAGACTTGCCATATCACAGCAGAGATAGAGATAGATAGATAGAGAGAGAGAGTGGTTGAAGTGTGGAAAATAATTCCCCCACAACTCTATAAAAACTGGAAAGTTAGGACTGGGCAGCTCCCACCCGAATATGGCAACAGTACTCTATTTTCAGCCTGATCTGGCTCATGTAAAGGTAGAGTATCTACACCAGGAGTCAGGTACTTACTGGAGCTGTACAGGGAGCTGACCATTTTACCTGCATTTTTAGCAATGGATCATATGTAAGTGTGAGTTTACAGTCTAATATTCTCTCAAGGCATGGTGCCTCTTCAAGGGGACATCTATTCATTGTGACTGGTGGTAGGTTGGAGTCTGATATGCAGTGATGTAATATAACTAGTTTGATTTTCAATGCATTGAATATAACCAACCAGTTTTTCCCACTGGACTGTTAGTGCTAGATCAGAAAAGAGGTTAGCTGCCAATCTCTTGTCCTCAAGAGTTTTACACCTGTGCTCAAATATTGTAATATCATGGGCATAGATGTTTACAAATGATCTGATTATATTCATAGGCAGATCATTTAGGTAAATCAGAAAGAGGGTTGATCTGAGAAGTAAACCTGGGAAAAGCCTGCATTGACTGCTCGGGTCTTGGAGTACTGGCCTTTAATAACTACCTTTAGGGTCTACCTTTTAGGACAGATTTTATAATTGAGAAGACCATTTCTGTGATTCCATAGCTGGAGAGCTTGTGTAGCAAACCTCTGTGCCTCACTATGTCAAAGTCTTTCAAAATATCTAATGGTATGGTCCTTGAGGTGTGTTTGTCATTAAGAGCCTCATTAAGTTTGTGTGTAATGGTAATTAGGACATCAGCAGTGGAGTGGACCGATTGAAACCTATAATGCTCGTCACACAGGAGATTGTCCCTATCTAGGTGATTGATGACCTTTTTGTTGATTATAACCTACAAAAGTTTAATGAAGAGACTGATGAGTCTGTTCTGAGAAGAGGGGAAGATCACTTGCCCATGTACTTGAAGATCAAGCATATGCTTGACTCCTTCTACAGGCTTGGGAAAGATTTCTCCTTCAAGCAGCAGTTGAACAACTTCCCTAGGATTGGGGATAATTTTGGATTGATATTCTTAAGGACAACGACTGGAATATTTTTCTGGGCCAGATTTTTTGGGGTCAAGGTTTTTGATAAGCCTGAAATGATGATATTACTGAGATTGTGCTCAGTGAGATGTGTAAGTTGAGGAGGGGATGCCTTTATCATCTAACATTGAGTTTGAGGCAAAAATTCAAGCAAAGAGCTTCACTTTGTCTGTGGTGGAAGATATGTTTTGGGGGTAATTTATAATAGTGGGCAGAGCTGCTTTGCATCTTTTGATAATTTAGTTGGTGATCTTCCAGAATTTGTGAGATCCAATTTTTTCTTTTCAACCTTGGCCTGGACAGCTTGCATTTTCCAGAACTATCTTACAGCAATTGCAGGAAGTTCTGAAAGCAGTAAGGATCAGATTACACTGCTTCTTGTGACAGATATTGAAGTAGTGATTCACATATCATATGGCTGAAGCACATTCAGGGTGAACCAAGGATGGTTGTTTCACTTTTGCTGGATTTTTTGGGGGGTATATATTCTCCACTCTAAAAAGGAACCATTTGGAGATGAGGGCAGCAGTTTTGGGTTGAAAAACTTTGAGAGAGGAGTTTCCATCATATAGTACTGAAAACTGCTTTGATGTAGTGAAAAACTATTGCATGGCATGTTAAATCAGGGGTTGTCATTGGTTTGGAATCATTCTAGACACTCTATGGGGGGGGGGTGGAACTTTACTAAGCATTTATCAGGGCAGGATGTTAGAAAAAGGGTTGAGGAGGTTCACCTGCTGTCCTGTTGGGTCCAGGACACAGGTGGGTTCTTCAATGATCTGGTTTAGTTCATAGTCAGTGGAGAAGTTTCTGCAATATCTGCCTTCCTTAACAGTTTTGATTGCATAGAATAACCACTCTTTGTGGTGAATATTGAAGTAACTGCAGATATGAACACTAGATGAGGGATATTCAGTGAGGATATTATCACTCGACTCAGATATTCAATCAAAGATTACTGACCCATCATCCTGTGGTGATAGAGAGCAAAGGTACTATAAGTGCCACATAGAAGCACATATACAGGAAATCAGGGTCCTCATTTTTTGGAAACCTGTCCTTGATGTAGGCTCTGAGTCTGTGGCTGTAGTGATATATATATAATAAAAAATGAATTTTACAATAATTAAATTTTATGTGCAAAATAAAAGAAATTCAATTTTTTTTCTGGGAGGGAATGGGAGTTAATGAATGTCCACTTTCATATCCTGAATATTAAAAAAAAAGACACAAACAGTAACAAAAATTGAAACTACCTTGTTAAATGTGAAAGTCAAAAATATTTATTAAATTGATGCAAAACAATATAACAGAGTATAAATTTTACAAAAAAGGCTTGCATAAAAATTTCCTTTCATGCACCTCATTAAGAACAAGGCAAGATAATATAGCAAAATTATAGAAATGATTGGCTTTAAAAAAGATTCACAATACATTTTTTTTTCAAATCAAGACAGAAAAACACTTTGAGAAAGAGAAACAAAAACTGTTTAAAAAAGATTACTCTTAGTAAAATAGGGTGCTCCCACCTAACAGATAAGCAAAAAAACCTATGTGTTTTTTCAGTAAGAATCTCAGGTAGGTTTAACAATCTTTCGCAATTTCTTTGTTTTTGAAGTTGCCTTTTGTGGTTGGCTTGAGAGTGCTCTTTGTTGTTCTTTTTTTGTTAGCATAGTTTTAAGGATGCTGAGACATTTCGGCCCTTTGCTCTGCTGGCAACTTTCTCATTCACAGCCAGATTTGTATCTGATGTTCAAGTCACTCTCTGCCTCCCTCCTAGCAGCCAACTTGGTTGCATGAGAAATCTAATCCCTTCTGTGTGATGTATCATTTCCTTATGCTGGTGCCAGCAGGCTTTTCCCCGTCAGCCATCTAATCACCTTCTTTCCACTTTCTGTCATGTCTAACCAACTTTTGACACTATCTGCTAACCCATGTCCTTCATTACTTTTGGGAGTGGCTCAGTGGAGCTCAATTTTAAATTCATGATGGCAAAAGCCACCCTTTTCATTGGTCAATAAATATGAGAGTGATATATTTTTTCTGAATTTGAAAAATGAATCCCCAACAGTCCACCATGACAGTTATTTCCAGCAGTTCTTTGTAGAGCCAATTCTAAATTCTTGCATTTTTTAACTAATTATTATGTTTAATTATTTCTTACTAATAATTAATTTTTTTTATATTAGCCTACCACCTCTTTTTGGCAAACTACTAGAGGCACTAATTAATGTTGAATTAGTTAAGCATCTCACATTGCAAGGACTTCTGATGTGGTAATGATTATTTCAGGAAGACTCTATCATGCTTTAGATAAGAATGATGAAGCTTAGGCTATTGCTTTGGACATCTCTAAAATGTTTGACAGGGTTTGTCATGTTGGTCTTCTCCACAAATTAAAAGTTATGGTGTCTCTGGATGAATTTTTGAACTGATTCAATCTTTCTTATCAAATCCTGAAATGAGAGTTCTCCTGAATGCCTACTCTTCTAGATCCTTCTGTACTAATATAGGTGTTCCCCAGGGCTCTATCCTTGGTGCCACTTTGTTTTTAATTTTCATTAATGCAATTCTTGATGACAGCAGCTCTCAACTTCGTATCTATGTGGATGACACAACAATTTACTCCTATCTTGATACTAAGTCTGATCTGTTTGATAAAGTCAAATTGGTGGCTGATCTCACAAATGACGTACAGTATGTTGTTAACTGGAGCAAAGAATCTCTTGTTAATTTTAATGCCTCTAAAACTAAACTGCTCTCTGTTAGTCATCTGAAAGACCTCTTTTTGCCTTCTATCATCATGGCTAATGCTAAGCTCCAGATGAATGACTTGGTGTGCCTTCTTGGGTAAAATGACAGGAAGTGGAAAGACTATATTGAATCCACTGCTAGGTCAGCTGATAAGAAAGTTGGTTCACTGTGTTGCACTAGATAATTTTACTCTCCAGAATCTATCTTTCATATCTATAAGTCTACCATTCGCCCATGCTTGGAATATTGCAGCCACATTTACTCCGGTGTGCCTACTATTTATTTAGAGATACTTGATAAAATCCAAAGGAGAATCAGAAATATTATTGGTCTTGATCTGGTGTCTTGGCTTCAGTCACTTTTCTGTGCAATGTTCTTTCAGGATGGAGACAATCATGGCTTTCCACCTCCCTCTATCCCTTGCAGCTCTCATCAAGTTCCTTCTCTTTGCCACCTCGGCCAGACCACATTCTATCATCCACTTGCTTAAGGCCATTAGGTATGTCATGCATTGTTTTCCCTTGCCTCTCTTATCGTCTAATCAACCTGCGAGTATCAGATTCTCCAGGCCCTCCTTCCTCATTATGTGTCCCAAGTACTTCAGCTGCTCTTCCTGATGTTAAGTATAAGCCTCCTACCACTGCCTTTTATAGTAATTTTTTGGACGAGCTCTTCACTATGGTACCTAGATTAACAAAATACAAAGGGAATTAAGAAGTGTGAATAAAATAAAATAATCAAAAGAGAATTATAGGTAGGAAGAAACTATAAAATAGTATTAGCCCTATTCTATGGCTGTAAATGGTGGACATTCTACTCAC